CCTCCCCAATTTGTGGTTTTGCTTCTTTGCGGGCTGCACCATGTTGCCTTTGGCCGTTTGGATTAATAATATGAAATATGATATGTGGTATTTTACTGTTCGCTCGTGCCTGGTGTGTGCGTTCCCGGGTTGTACCATTAATGGGTTATGCTGTGTATAGTTATGACCTAGCACTCTAAGAAGAGTGGCGCTTCTGCAAGCAAGAAGTCTTTCTGCATTACCAAAGGAACATACTTAGATAAGGCCTTCATAAACGAAGACACTTGGCCCAAAAGATAGACCTTCAAAGAAGTAGACAAATCAAGATAATAGGACAGCTTTAAATGAACACGTGTTGGAGGATGGGACTCTTACAAGGAGCACACTCGACAGCCCTGTGCAATACACACGTGTCAGTCATACTCTGTTTTGGCCCCCCGCCCTTTGTTCTCAATCATAAATAATATTCAATAAATAGTCCCCGTAGTTACTCAAAGCTTGCAACAAACTATAATATATGTATATATATATATACATATACTGTATAGTATCCCACACCACCACCTCCCAAAACTTGCAAAGCTCTGCTTGTAATGCAAATCAAACCCACCATCAGAACATGCAGTGCGAAAACCCCTCCCTGTCCTCGAGATCGCAGCAGCCGTGCAAGAATGGGACGCTATAAGTCAAAGAAGATCAAAGAAGTATTGAACTTCGGGAATTCTCACTTTTGCACTTGTCGACTTTTGTTCTTCTTTTGGATCTGGAAGAGGTCTGAGGCCACTGTGTTTGACTTTTCAGTTTTTTACTTTTAAATCTATCGGGGCGGTCTGGGTTTTTCTATATAAGTCTTCCTGGTTCCGGTCATGCGGGCCGATCTCGGTTTCTTCCATTCGCCTATTGCATTGCCCCAGGTTCAAAAGAAAGCATACCAACTTCCGAACGTCCGGCGACCAAATCTACTGACAAGGTACAGTGCAGGCTCGACAAAGCAAATCCACACATTGCAAGTGGTGTTGATCCGAATTCCAGCTGTAACTTGGTGAGCCCTGCTTTTGGATCTTGCTTGATTGAACAAGGCAGCATCAAATCAAGCAGTGGCTTCCACTCAGGCAGTGGTCCTTCCCAACAGATTTCCCGAGCGCTGCGGTGATGACTGCCTTCCAGCAGCCAGAGGTTCTGGGCTGAAAAATGTGTTTCGACAAAGCATCAAGGGACAGTGCCGGAGGTATGAATGAGCTGCTGACATGTGGCAATGAATCTCGGACATTTTAGGGAGTCTTTGCGACCTTAAGGTCAAGCGTTATTTAAGGGCTGCCCCTGCCAGCAGTGCAAACATTGTATTTTGACATGGCAGCGAGCCAATACAATTTAGGCAAGTCCATTTACTGGAATGTATGATTATACAATAATATATATATATAGTTATATATATATGCATTATTACTATATGCATATATATAACTTGGGCTTTAGCTTTTGCTTGTGCCCGGTGGTGAGCTCAATGATTCAAAAGGCAATTCCGTGGGACAAAAACAAACACATACTTGGCTGTTTTTCCAGTGAGAGAGGTGCATGAGGGTGAGACATGGTGCGTCTTTGACACTTCTTTATTGGTCATGACAACACGGACTGGTCAGCAGCCACGGATTCTGGTAAGACGAAAGCACCACAAGACCAAATTTGCTACGAGTTGGAATGCTTCCTTTGTGCACAGGTCGATCGGAGCTTGGAGCCCTTCAGTTGGGCATCGGTGGATGTCCAGCGAGTCGTTGTAGGGATGCGCAGCCCGTGGGTTCTGGGAGAGTGAACAGAGTCGGCATGATGTGGATGACATAAGGATGCGTCGTTGAAATGTTTCTAATAGCTTCTTGTTACTACTAGTAAGGCACCTGTTACTACTAGTAAGGCACTTGTTCCTAATAGCTTTTTGTTACGAGTCGGCATGATGTGGATGACATGATGCAAATTTGAAGTTGCGTTTCCTTTGCATCCCTGGCACCTCAAAATGTAGAAGCATGGCAATCGAGACACTTTTCGGTGTCTTTCGGTCACTTTCCATTTCAAAAAGCTGTGGATGCTTGCCACAAGTTTGCGCTTGTAAGCGGATTTGATTCGCTGGGCCTGCCGCAGGAAACCCAATTGTCAGACATAAAACAACATTTTGGAAGTGCGGCACTTGCCACAGAAAGTAGGTGATGTTTGTAGAATGAGAGTCGCAGGAGTGTCAACTTCCGTTTGACATTGCCTTTCAGAAACACGATTTTGTAGAAGATTTCATGGGGCCGTGCTCAATCGACAAGACAGGATTCCTGGTCCAAATGAGAACCTGGACTTGGAAGGCTTCAGCATAGGGGTAGAATACCAAGCGTGACTAAGCGATACCAAATTGTGACCAAGCGATACCAAGCGTCCCTGAGGCGAAACTTCAAGCGGCAGACCTCTCAGAGGCAGGGTATATATGCATTATGAATATATATAGAGTCATCCCGGACTAGGTAGAATATGGTGGTAATGTTAAAGAACAATAGGGAACCGGTCATGTTTTTTGGAAAGACTCATATTCTATTTACTCCAGAATGGCTTGTATAAATGTATATAGTAATATCAAGGTACTATGGGCTATACGGTGACATAATGCTGGTCATGTTCACTGCGAAACAAGCTTATTGTGAACAGCATCACATGCGCTGATAGAGTGTTTCCGGCTCACACTCTTTGTTCGACTCATCGTGCTTGAGCCCCTGGCGAACCAGGAGAAGGTCCTGGAACGGCTGGAGCCTGCTTTGAGGCGTTATCAGGAGCCATGTAGCCCATTGAGGGAACTGCTTGGCGGTCCGCAAGTCTCTTTTTACTGCAAGGTTCGTTGGTTCGTTGCTAAGGATGCTCCTTAGAGCTCCAGAGCAAGTTGTAGTTGTTGGACCTGTGGGACACGGCAGCCTGGTTCTTCAGTTTCCAACCTCAGCCTTTCACGCAGGACACCCTGCGACAGCCGCGAATCACTGAGTACTTGCTACCTAGTGCTGGAGATGTTGCCGTGGTTCGGTCCAGCCGCATGCAAGAGGCGCCAGTGGGATAAGGAAAAAAAGCAAGAGGTCCATCGCAAAGCCAGTAAGGTCCTGCGATGTCCTGAATAAGAATTGACTGGAAGATGCTCCATGATATTTTAAAAGAAGGAATGAAGAGTAATGAAGTAAGAAACAGTCTGAAGGTCTAACTGTCTAACTAAAGACAAAGTACCAGCAAAAGCCCCCTTCAAAAAAGCTAATTTCAATTTTCGGCCCACTCTTCCCCAAGAGGCTTTGCGCGGCTTGCGTGGCGAGTCGCCAGAGCAGGAGGAGTCAGGTGCAGCAAGCGGCTAGCTGTTTTGAGATCATACTAAGTTACTAGCGATGGCCTCCAACCTAAGAGCGAAAAGCTCAGCAGCTGGCACAGGGTTTCATGCAATTTCCATTCTTTGACTGGTGGATGTTTCGTTCTTTGTCCGTACGAGAATGGACTATATAAGTCGACATGTATAGATATATTATAGTTACTGTTTTTGTATGCGGTGGGTTTGCTCAGAAGGGTCACTTGTGAGAGGGAGATGATTGAAGCGGAATGTCCTGCCCCAATATCGAAGCGGTTGGAAGCATACCTGCCATCCAGAGCTTGGACCGACTGCGGCATCAGGTGTATCTTCCAAAGGGCCAAAGGGCCGACGCAAGGCGCCGGGAGAAGTCGAAGAGGAAACCAGAAATGCCAAGACAGTCATAACGATCGCAGGAATAGATGTAGGAATAGTGGATAGAGTTTGTCAAAGCTGGGTCCATCTTAAAGCAACGGTGCAAGCCAACAATCCTCACCTGGTTGACCTTCGGCTCAATACCCACTATTCCTCACAGCTATTGGCTGCAAGAAGGTCCTTTTCCAGCATTGCATTGCCCAATCAGACCAGGGACATCCGAGGACCGGTTCGATTGAAATGCTTAGCACCTGCAGATTAGACGGGCCATGGGTGGAAGTCAGGGTGGTGCTCGTGGGCGTGCACGTGGCCCGCGTGGCGGACGTGGTCGCCGGGGGCGCGAGGCCTGGGAGCTGCCAGGGCTGCACTGGGCAGGTTACCAAGTAAGGCTTCACGGGGATTAGTGATATGTTTCTTTACTTTGGTTCTTTCTGTTTTACGGTTTGCGCTCATTTTTGCTCCCTCTCTTATTTGTGCCACCGACAGCCGCCACGTCGCATTTTCTTCAGCAAAAATCAATGAGAGAAGAGCGATCATCGGCCAGTTTACATCTTTTGATGCATGATCATTTTTGGGCACATTGGGCCTTGAATCACGAGAAGCCCACGTAGGAACGAATTGATGTCTCCAATAGTCTGAAGAATGTCAGTTCAAGGCTGGCTTTGCCAACCTGAAGCCGGGGAATGATGTCTCTTGGCCCTGACTCATGACATCTCATGACTTCCTACTCTGCTGCCCGTGACATGTGAGATTTGGTGCATTTAGGCCTGGCTGATCAAACTTGGCCTTTGGCCGTCTCTAATTAACCCACCTAAGTGCAGGGAAGAAGCTTTTTGACGATGATTCGGCACTCAAATCCAGCCTCAAAAAACATACATTCCGTGAGAATGTTGGTTTGCACACCTCCAATTGGTCGTGCCATAGGAAGTTCCATTGCAATGGCACGTTAGTTTCACAAAACATGCCACAGCGGGCGCACCAAGGCCAGCATCGAGTTGGACAGTGGCAGCGATGCCTGAGTGCTGAAAAGTGAGAATGGAGATTCGTTTGGCAGGGTGTGACACTGAAAACATCCAGGTGTCTATTTGCAAAGCAGCTAGCCATACAGAGCCACTTGGTAAGTGGACAAACTTTTAGCAGCTTCAAGCGGCCCAGTCTCCAGACAGAGGAAACGAACCACCCAGGGAGGTGACTTGGGATTAATGCGCCTAATGCCTCCACAGCCTCCAATGCTGAACCATCTGACTTACTATCTGACTTTGGCACTACTCAATCTAGCAGAATCTTGCGGACGCAGGCAAAGTCCATCCATCTTGGAATGCCATACCTGGTGCCTCCTGCTCGTGGGCGTGCTTTGCTTTTCAGGCTGGCACAGCTCCGATGTTGTGTCGGCTTAGCCGAGCCCCTCAATCCAGCACCTCCACGGTGGGCCTCCAAATCTTCTTTGTTCTTTACGGTTCGCTGATGTAGACCTAGACATGACCTGAGCCTTGCTCGAAAAGGGGATTTACCAGGACACAATGCAAGAGACTAGACTTGACTAGTTGGACTTGCAAGACATCCATCTTTTCAGGACCAGGTGAACCAGGTCACATTTCGTTCTGGAAAATGAGACACCGATGCGGAGCCTCTCCAGTCACTCGAGGTCCTACACAACTGCTGGGGCTCATGACCCCACAGCACTTCATGGCTCCTGTGCTGCGGGGCAGGGGCTCCTCAGATCTCCAGATATCTCCACAGACTGTTTCGGCACATGTTGTTTCTCGAAAAGCATGTAGTTCTTCATCAAAACATGTGAGTGACGGGAGTCTCCGACCTTGTGCAGCGTCTGCACAAATGTTCCAGGGTGTTTAAAAATCTGTTTTGGACGACCAACAGGGTATAACAGGGTCAAAGGCCACTGCAAGGAGGCAAATATGTATGCAAACAGCCATCCATTTAGGCTCAAGCAAACGCTGACGACCCGAGGAAAAACACCTGGCCTCACAAGCTGCATGAAGCCATTGCGAGCACATTTTCCAGCTGCATCATAGAGACATACGGCTCGCCCAAGAAAGGTCACATAGCTGGGCCATTCTTTTGGATGGTTGATTGTCAGCACATTGTTCCTATTTGTTTCGCAATAGGCTATATAAATATATAGGGTTTGGACATGTCAGGAACCCCGGAGGCCCTTGTGGCTGCTGAACCGTTGCCGAAATGCCATGGCAGATGAGGAGTTGCTGAACGCCAAAGTTATTTCACCAGCGGCACCCAGTGCATCCAGCGCGGGCGCACTGGCAGGGGGAGCTGCTGCAGTCAGCCCGAAGGGAAGAGCACCAAAACCAAAGGCCGCTGAGGTGCGGGAGAAGGACAGGGTGGCAGTGAACAATTCTGTTTAGAGAAAATCGCCAGTGCAAGACGGTTTGTGCAGGTTGGTTGAGTGGGTTACCGTCCTGTGGACGGCTGAGGCAACAGGACTATAGGCCTCACAGTGTGCTGAATCCAAGACTGGCCGATCGCAATCCAGACTGCTGTAGCTTTGCCGCGCTTCACTATAGCTCAAGCAGTTCCAGTCTTTAAGGATCCAATGTTTGTGCGTCCAGCGCAGTGACTTGACCCACTGTTGGGAAGTCCTATCCAACCCGCTCCCCTAATGGCGAGGCAACCAGCAAATACCAGCAATGCGACTAAGATCGAGCATAGCAATCTTCAGCCCTATCGTCCACATCCAACGTTCGCAGTCAGAGAGTATAGGAAGAGCTTGCAGCACGACGCAAGTTCCACATCAGTTTGGAGGCCATCGCTGTTTGGTTGCCTTCTGTTAGGGTGCCATCCACAAAAGAAACACAAAGAAGCTACACTTGGCGCCAGTCCGGGCCGTTTTGCATTGTCGTCCTTGGTTGTGACCGTTGGCACCCTTACACATATCCACCCACAGCTGCATCGGCATGGGAAATCGGCATTTGAGAGTGTGACATGTTGCAGTGCATCATCTCGCTGCTTTGCTTTACGAACGCTGTTTGGTGTCTCATTTTGTAAGCCCTACTGGGCCACCACCAGCCGCCAGCCTGCGCCTGGACATGAATCAAACAGCGTTCTCATAAGGGGAACTCAGAAGAGCAATTCACACGTCGCCTTGTCACCGCACTGCTGGTGTCAAGCAATGTCCGTTTTAACCTTCAAGGCTGAGACAAAGACCGGGAGACCCTCATCCAGAGATAAATCTTTAGGCCAAACATCGCTACTAGTAACAAGTGCATCGCTACTAGAAACAAGGGCCTTACTACTAGGAACAAGAAGCTACTAGGAAACAATAATAGAATTTAATTAGAATCTAATTAAATCTTTATTAGAATTGAATTAAACATGTCTTTTCAGAGTCAACTTGTCGGTTTACATATAGCTCCCGTTGCCAGAGTAGTATTGGCCCGAAGGCGTTCGATCTTCGATGTCAACATGGTAAAGGAACCTGTAGACTAGACATTGGATGCCATCGCTCTTAGGTTAGAGGCCACTGCTAGTAGGTTGGAGGCCATCGCTCTTCGGTTGGAGGCCACTGCTGGTAGGTTGGAGGCCGCCGCTCTTGCGTTGGAGCTGCTGCTAGTAGGTTGGAGGCCATCGCTCTTACGTTGGAGCTGCTGCTAGTAGGTTGGAGGCCATTGGAGGCCATCGTTCTTAATTGGAGGCCACTGCTAGCAGTTGGAGGCCATCGCTCTTAGGTTGGAGGCCACTGCTATAGGTTGGAGGCCAGCGCTCT